GAGTTTTCCGTCGGGTAATTAATCAGGCCAATTGATTTGTCAGTCAAAAAGACGTCGGGGATTAAGTCCACCGTCGGCTATTTCCAGACTCACCAACTTAATCACGACGGAGAAAGTCCTGCAGGAGGCTGGCAGCGTCTCTAAAGGGTGGGGGGTAGCTAGGCCCTTTATTACACCGACCATAGACTCCTCTGAGGGTTATCATGTTGTTGCCTCCATTTCCCTAAGGTTACCACTTTTCCCTCCTCCCCCTCCCCCCTCCATTTTTACGGTCTTTAGGAAGTGAATTGCAATTTCCTCCTCTGTGATAAGTTTTGAATTAGTTTCTCCTTTAAGGAAAAAACCAGAAAAACACATATCCAAGTAAAGAACATTTTCAAGATGTATTGTTCTGTGTGTGTGTGTGTGTGTGTGTGTGTGTGTGTGTGTAAATATGTATATATATATTAATTAACGGTTTATTGAAAGAGCTTGGAGCCAGAGGCTGAAAATATACAGTTACATATTTGGGGAATGGGTTTCGAATTACAAATAATATACAAGTGACATAAGTGACACAAATAAGACATATATTAACTTAGATGGGGATCAGCTCAATACAGTTCATTTCAACATAGTAGGGAGCAGTGTTTACTGGGAGTGAATACACTGATTTATTACATGTTGTGATAATTTTTCAATGGTTGGGACTGGGCTGTTCTTATAGCGATCGGTTCGTGCACGTATGGGCTGGATGCGGTTGTGGTGTCGAACAGCAATTCTCGGACAGGGGATCTCAGGTGTGGTAAGGGCCGGTGTCGGGGATGGTGTAGAAGCTTCTTACCAAATTGCAGATGAGGCCGTGGTGATGGTCAGTGAGAGTCGAAAGGGTCAGTGTGTTGAGCGCTTCTTGATATGTGGAGTAGGTAGGGAAGAGTAATAATCTTGCATGCCCTCTTTGCACTTTTCTAGGTGTTTACGTTGTGTGGCATTTAGGGAGGAAGACCAGGTGGGGAGGCATAGGTGAGCTGGAAGTATGGATGTTGTGTATACACTGAGGAGCTCGTGTGCGGGAACTCCAGGGACTTGAGTCGGCGGAGGAGGTGGAGACGGAAACTGGAGGATTTGACAACTTCACTGACGTGTGGTTTCCAATTTAGTTTGTTGTCTATGGTGACGCCGAGGAGCTTCGTGGAATCTACAACCTGGAGTGTGTTCGGACCTAGGGTAATGGAAGGAGGTGGGACAATGTCGGAGGAGAGGTTGATGTGCATAACCATGGTCTTGGTATGGTTGATGGTGACATGGTTTGTTGGTGGCCCAGTTTGGAGACTGTTCAATAGATCCTGAAGGGCGGTATAGTTGGGAGCAGAATTGTTGTGTGTGTGTGTGTGTGTGTGTGTGTGATCCATCTGTAAGTGACACGTCCTTCTGTCTATCTGTTCACGACCAGCTGTTTGTTGAATACACGGCGATGACCCACCTGTTTATACCTGGTCAGCTGGTGTCAGGCGTGAGGAAGGAGCACCATCTGTCACCCAACAGTGGATCATCAGGTCGTTGTGGGTCGTCAGGTCGTTGTGGGTCGTCAGGTCGTTGTGGGTCGTCAGGTCGTTGTGGGTCGTCAGGTCGTTGTGGGTCGTCAGGTCGTTGTGGGTCGTCAGGTCGTTGTGGGTCGTCAAGTCGTTGTGGGTCGTTTCTTAAGTATAAGATTGAAACGATAATATTGCTTGTGATTATTTACCTATAAGTGTAGTTTCTAGCTTAGGTTAGGTTAGGTTAGACTAGATTAGGTTGAATTAGTAAGTGAAGGTTAGGTTATATTACGGAAGGCTAGGCTTGACTGAGTTAGTAAAGGTTAGTTCAGGTTAGGTTAGGTTAGGTTAACAAAACAGTCCAGGGCTTCACCAGTTAAGAACACCGGTGGTCCAGTGCTTCGTGACGTGTACAGTGTCAACACGAGAACAGCTCAGTCCAGTGTTTAATGTGAGACAAATTCATTGAAATTAAGACCAATGGTTCCCTTAATGGTGTGTGAACTGAGTGGTGGTGGTGGTGGTGATCTAGTGGTGGTGATGACCCAGTGCCTCCTCCACCTCTCTCTCCTCCCTCCCACCCAACTCCCTTCATCCTTCCCCTCCTCCCGTCTCCCCTCCCGTCTCCCGTCAAGGCATTTTAATCAAATTTGCCATTTTACTCATGACTAAGTGTCCTCATTATCGAAAGCAATTAGTCACATAACCATTTTTGTATAAGATAACAGCCTAGTTTGTTTATGATAAATTGTTCTTCATTATATCAGTTAAAATTATGTTGCGTTAGATATTTGGTCGTGTAGGAAGGACTCTCTCTCTCTCTCTCTCTCTCTCTCTCTCTCTCTCTCTCTCTCTCTCTCTCTCTCTCACACACACACACACACACACACACACACACACACAGAGTAGTTTAGTTTCTTTAAATGACGTGTGTGTGTGTGTGTGTGTTGGGTTCTAAAACAAGGTCAGATAAACAATGTCTCCTCAACTTGGTGTGATGGTAGTAATGGCTCCTCTTGATGCCCCTCGTAACACAGGTAATCTCTGGCAAGTAGCTGTGTGTGTGTGTGTGGGTGGGTGTGGGTGTGTGTGTGTGTGCGTGTGTGTGTGTGTGTGTGTGTGTGTGTGGGTGTGGGTAGGTGGGTGGTCGTGATTGCGTGATGGCGTGTTCTTTCTCTTTCCTCCTGAACACATCTTAAAACATCAACAGATTCTGAAGGTTTGCAATACTTAATTATATCTGACGCAGGTGTTGGCAGGCGTCAGTATACATTTGTTTTGTTAGCATACACAGGTGTTGTATTTGACAGGTGTGATGGCTAGTGAGGAGGGTGTAGGAGGCCAAGGTGGTGGTGGTGGTGGTGGTAGGAGGAGGTAGATAAGACAGGTGTTGGTCTTAACTAATTAGTGGTTGCTCGTGGGTACTGTTGGTCATTGACTCACTGTCTGGTAGATTGTGGTTACAGACAGATTGTAGATGTTACAGGTAGGTTGTGGTTGTTAATCATATTGTGGTTGTTGCAGGTAGGTTGTGGTTGTTAATCAGGTTGTGGTTGTTAATCAGGTTGTGGTTGTTAATCAGATTGTAGTTGTTACAGGAAAGTTATGGTTGTTACAGACAGGTGATTGTGGTTGTTATAGACAGGTAGGTTGTGGTTGTTATAGGCAGATGGTTGTAGCTACTGGTTTGTGCTATAATCAAGCGTAGAATCCAGATAGCAGTAGAGTTTGGTGGAAAAAGTTGTTAAGAGTGAAAGGTGAGGAGGAAGGCAGAAAGCAGGCGCTGTGAGAGAGTTGTGGGAGGTAATCTGCCTAAGTGAGTGTATCCGTAATGGAGGGGAAAAGTGAGGGAATATGACGTGGGATCTTTTCAGTGAGAGGAGTGTGGGGGAGAGGGGGGGTGTGGGGAAGAGGAGGGGATGTGGGGGGAGAGGGGGGTGGGTGGGGGTGAGAGGGAGGTGTGTGGGAGGGAGGTGTGTGGGTGGAGGTGGGGTGTGTGGGTGAGAGGATTGTGTGTCCGGATGAGAGAAGTGTGTATGGGTGTTTGTGTGTATGTGTGTGGGTGAAAGAAGAGTGTGTAGGGGAGAGAGAGGAGGGTGTAGGGGTGTGTGTAGGGGAGAGAGGATGTGTGTGGGTGAGAGTCGTCTGGAGGAGGATTGACAGTGACCTCGTTTAGTTGCGTAGTTTGCACAGGAGACCTTACGAGCTATGACGTCATCACTGTCAAGGTAAACAGTATTAACAAGGTTATGCCTCAGGTAACATACAGGGGAACTTACCTGCCCTTCAACGTTATGTATATATTGTGAGAGAGAGAGAGAGAGAGAGAGAGAGAGAGAGAGAGAGAGAGAGAGAGAGAGAGAGACCTCACCATTACCCTACAATAGTTGCTTCCTGCTAAAGTTTGTCACGTCGCGCTCACTGGATGACCTGTGGCAATAATGCACTTCTTTTCTTTTTTTACACCCAACACCTCCTAGGCTATCTCGTCCTCGTCACCCCTCCCCTGGTCTTCGTCACCCTCCCCCTGTTCTCAGTCACCCTCCCCTGTTCTCGTCACCCCTCCCCATGGTCTCGTCACCCCTCTCCCTGGTCTCGCTCACCTCCCTGGTGCCCTGTCACCCTCCCTGGTCCCCGTTCTCCTCCCTCCCGGTCTTTGTCAACTCAGCACCTAGTCCCGTCACCTCTTCTCAGCACCTAATCTCAGCACCTGTTCTCAGTATATCGCCACCAGGGAATAAATTTAGTGATCAAAATACCAGGTTGTGCGACTCGTGTAAACATTGTAAGTTAGCGAGCGATAGTCGGGCTTGTTGGCGCCTCATTAATTAGCAGCATTGTAAGTTATTTAGTAGATCGTATTAAGTAAATTATATTGAAGTTTATGGGTGTGTTAGGTTTAAATCAGTAGTGTGGTGGTGCTAGAGGTGGGTTAGTGTACTCAGGTGTGGTGGGTCAGAGGTGGGTTAGTGTACTCAGGTGTGGTGGGTCAGAGGTGGGTTAGGGTACTCAGGTGTGGTGGGTCAGAGGTGGGTTAGTGTACTCAGGTGTGGTGAGCCAGAGGTGGGTTAGTGTACTCAGGTGTGGTGAGCAAGAGGTGGGTTAGTGTACTCAGGTGTGGTGGGTCAGAGGTGGGTTAGTGTACTCAGGTGGTGAGCCAGTTAGTGTACTCAGGTGTGGTGAGCAAGAGGTGGGTTCGTGTAAATAATGTGAAAGTAGTAATAACCATCATCACTTTCCCTAATAAACTCGTCTTCCGGTTCCTTTGTCGCTACTTGTGAATTGTGTATGTAAAAAAGATGCCTGGCCTGTGTACATGTGTGTGTGTGTGTGTGTGTGTGTGTGTGTGTGTGTGTGTGAGGGGTCGGTGCAAGTGGAGGCAGATGTAGTTTATGCCCTACGGAACTTAAGGCGGGATTACTGTAGATTGTGTACATGGTGAAGGTAGATCTCCGACAGGTGAATAATGGGTTCCTCCTCCTGCAGGTCGACGTATGAACACCAACTGGCGGCCGGAAGTAGGGACAACGGGCATGGTGAGCGAGGAGGACAAGTGCCGGCTCTTCAGCGAGCCTAACCACGATTCCATGGAGTTCTACAGCCCCCTCTACCCCAACGACTACCCCAAGGACACCGAGTGTATCCTCAGACTCGAAGGTGAGCCTCAAACCTCCTGTGTGGCTCTCAGTACACCCACCACACTACCGGGAGCAGCGACATGGAGGGTCCCAAAAAATGAGATCATGTGATCACTGGGCACCATTTTATTTCCACCAGTGCGCAGTGAGCCGCCTGATTTTACATCAGTTACCATCTGACCATTGCTGTAGATGAACGATTTTTCTTTGCCTTATAACGGGATGTTGTGCAGTTAGATGCAGCAATACGTCAGATAGGGGATTTAAGATGCACAGTCAGACGTCTGGGTTGGAAATCCTTTCCATCATCATTTTTGTGTCGGGTAAGTTTTACGGCAGTACAGTGCAGTGCAGTGCAGTGCAGTACAGTACAGTACAGTACAGTACAGTACAGTACAGTACAGTGCAGTGCAGTGCAGTGCAGTGCAGTACAGTACAGTACAGTGCAGTACAGTACAGTACAGTACAGTACAGTGCAGTGCAGTGCAGTGCAGTGCAGTGCAGTACATTTAAACACTTGGAGAGATGCTGCCTCTTCCTTTATCTGGAAATTAGTATTATAGAAACAAAGTGAATAATATCCCGGAAGAATCAGATGATTGTCTGTACCAGTGTAAGGCGCTAACTGGAGGAAGTCTGACACTACGCTCTCTTTATTATCATTATTATTGCTATAATTATTGTGATTAAAATACCGTACAGGAAATATGCAGCTTATCACTTGTTTAAAATGGTACTGTATTCTGCAATGCTGAATGGTGGTAGTTAATTTTGTTTTCTGTAGACTATGATTAAACCAAGTCATTCCTCCCCCGCGTACCTCTGTGTGGCTACTACAACACCCACCATACTATGTGTACCTCCATTGTACCCCTCACTTCACTCACACTCATTCTTGGCGCCCTACAGATAACTGCCTAACTTTATGATCTTTCTACCATGCCATTACTCCTGACTCACACGTCCCTACCACCTCTCTCTCTCTCTCTCTCTCCCTCTGTGTGTGTGTGTGTATGTGCGTGTGTTTGTGTGTGTGTTTGTTTGTGTGCGTGCGTGCGTGCTCTCCTTCACCATAAACATCCATCACCCATCTTGGATTTTATCAAGAAAAGTTGGAGTCTTGGTAAAGCCGTCGTTACTCCCTACGTCAACACAGTACACAGTGAAGAATGAACAAACTATTAACACTATATTCGGACATAAGATCTTCATTTCTTCGCCCTAAGTTTATTTACAGAATGATGATTATATTGTTTTTCGTACTCTGGCATTGTAAGGAGGACATAGCCAGCCACCATCACCACCATCTTCCTCACTTCTCCTCCCTTGTCAGCACACCATGCGGTTGTCTCTCTCAATCTCCCCCCCCCCCTCCTTCTCTTACCCACCCACGCGTTTTATCTCTCTCTCTCTCTCTCTCTCCACATTAAACATTTGCATCTCGTCTGTATCTCTTTAACAGTCAGTTGACGTGTAAAATATTCCTCCCACTTCTACCATACGTCATCTGCCTTGACTACGAGACTTGTTTATATCTTGCCGCTACAGTCTCAGTTATTTCATGATTCTTGGACTTCTCTCCTTCGTTACCGGTTTACTACACAAGGAGTTGCTCAAGTTTTAACCTCAGAGTCACGTATGCCTCTTTGCTGCTCCTCGAAGCCTATCTACCCCCTCACTGCCCTCCACAACCTCACACAGCTCCTCAAAATCTGATATTTTTCTCACTGCCCCTCACAACCTCAGCTTCCTCCCTCACAGCCTCATATACCCCTTCACTGCCCTTCAGACCCTGTTTTCTTTAGCCTTATATATTTATATTTAACACACACACACACACACACACACACACACACACACACACACACACACACACACACCTCATCGTTGAGCGGCTCCGAGGCTCCACTCCGTCACCGTCAGGAGTCACATAAACACCGTCCGTGTCTGAGGTGTTCTTCATCCTACACGAGTCTTGACACATCCCGACGTTCAGTTACCCCCAAGTGATGGCCACAACGAGAATGTTTTCCTCGAGTATCAAGGGAAATGCTCCAATTTGTTACTGTAGTCGAGTTTAATAGATATTTGCATAGTGACGCGTCATGGAGGGAGGGCAGGCGTGGGAGTGGAGGATAACGCTTTATTCACGAGTGTTGCAGCGGACTTAATCTTGTTTCCTGGCCACAGTTAAACTTTTTTCTGGAGGAATTACTCAACAATTGTGTGATTTACATGTTCTTGTGATCCTCACCTCGCCTGAGACAGTTTTACAGAACTTTGTTGTGAACTTGTGAGTTTGTTAAAAGTCGTTGGTTGTGTAAATTGGTGAAAGTTAGTAAGACTGTTATGGGTTTTATAATTTTATCCAGAGAATTAAATGGTTATTGACCTCGCGTGACGGCATGTATGTGTAATGCTTATTGGTGTAGTCATTGCAGCGGTTTATTAATCTGTGCAACAATGATCGTCAGGTTACCGTGTTCTCGGTTTACCAGTTGAAAGTAAGTATATTTGTGCAGCAGACCAACATTGTGAGACCACGCAACCAACACTCACACGGGTGACGGATGAGAGAACCGAACCTTCCTTCTCAAGGTGGCGGCCCGACTCCAGTACCCATAAATGACAAGGATTGCGAATGCTGAGGACTACATGGTGTTGATAAAATCCGTGTGCAACTTTTAAACTTTAATAAAAATAAATTATAATGCACACACAGGCCAAGACTTCTCCCATATTAGATCAAATAAGTACCACACACCCAGGACACCGTCACGAATGTCAGGTGCTGTCGTGATTAATTCCTTACTGACAGTTTACAGGGCGAGGTCATGATGTGTGGAGGGAGGCGACGCCCAGCAACAGCAGTGAGGACAGTTGGCGAGTGTGGTGCAGGAGGCGAGGCGCTCATCATGACTGTCACTCGACAATAACCAACAGGGAGGTGGGGTGTCATCCTTGAGTGTGGCGTCTTGTGTGAACGACACCGTTTCAGGGGCGTCGCTTCAGTCACTTTCCGAGCATATTTTATGTCTCTCTCTCACACACAAAATTCCCCTCCTTTCTCCCTCACAGCTGCGTACGGCTACGTAATACGAATAGACTTCCGGGACTACTTTGACATGGAACCGTCGGAGAAGTGTGAATTCGACTTCCTGGAGGTGCGGGACGGTGCTCACGGGTACTCTGACCTGAAGGGTCGCTACTGCGGCCACGACTTCCCGCCTATTATCACCTCCAAGGACAGTCACTTGTGGCTCAGGTTCACCTCAGACGAGACCATAGAGTACAAGGGCTTTAAGGCCGTCTATCAATACATAGAAAATACAGGTGAGTTGTGTTGATTGTTTCTGTACCTGGCAATGTGTGTTACGTAGTTATCTTTTCAATATGTAATTTTCTATGTTATCTTCTGTTGTCAGCCTTATGAGCGAATGCAAACGTTCATTAATTTAATTTTACGGAGGTTAACACAGTTTTAACCGGGCGACGACGTGTGCTGGGACTGTTTTGTCTCGGTCAACAAACGAGCTGTATAGTACACACACATCCACCTGAATAAGTTCGTTGGTCTACACTCTCGCTGTTGCCTCACTTCTGGGAGACAAAGTGATAATATTGAGTGTTAGGAGGAAAGTCACACAGCGGAAAAAACAGAATTAACCTCCTTACCTTACCTTACCCAACTCATCCCTCCCTTACCCTACCCTACCCCCTCACCTTACCTTAATCATCCCAACTTAACTGAACCTAATCTAATCAAACACACACACACACACACACACACACACACACACACACACACACACACACACACACACACACACACACACACACACACACACCTGTTGCTGGAAATATGTCGACGACTCCACCATTGGGATCAGCGTCAACAATTCTGCTCCCGACTATACCGCCCTTCAGGATTTATTGAACAGTCTCCAAAACTGGGCCACCAACAACCATGTCACCATCAACCATACCAAGACCATGGTTATGCACATCAACCTCTCCTCCGACATTGTCCCACCTCCTTCCATTACTTTAGGTCCGAACACACTCCAGGTTGTAGATTCCACGAAGCTCCTCGGCGTCACCATAGACAACAAACTAAATTGGAAACCACAGGTCAGTGAAGTTGTCAAATCCTCCAGTTTCCGTCTCCACCTCCTCCGCCGACTCAAGTCCCTCGGAGTTCCTGCACCCGAGCTCCTCAGTGTTTACACAACATTCATACTTCCCAAGCTCACCTATGCCTCCCCTACCTGGTCTTCCTCCCTAAATGCCACACAACGTAAACACCTAGAAAAAGTGCAAAAGAGGGCATGCAAGATTATTCTCTCCCCTTCCTACTCCACATATCAAGAAGCGCTCAACACACTGACCCTTTCGACTCTCACTGACCATCACCACGACCTCATTTGCAAATTTGGTAAGAAGCTTCTACACCATCCCCGACACCGGCTCCTACTACCACCTGAGATCCCTTGTCCGAGAATTGCTGTTCGACACCACAACCGCATCCAGCCCATACGTGCACGAACTGATCGCTATAAGAACAGCCCAGTCCCAACCATTGTAAAAATTATCAATAACTTGTAATAAACCAGTGTATTCACTCCCCAGTAAACACTACTCCTTGCACTGTCACTATGTTGAAATGCCCTGTAGTTTGAGCTTTTCCCCACCTAGTTATTATATATCTTATTTGTATCACTTATGTTACTTGTATATTATTTGGAATTCGAAACCCATTCCCCAAATATGTAACTGTATATTTTCAGCCTTCTGGCTGCCAAGCTCTTTCAATAAACCGTTAATTATTATTATTTTATTTATTATTACACACACACACACACACTATTTTCAATCATTTTAAAACATATACAGTATAAGTAATGAACACGATACAGTATGGTCCACCAATATATATTAACTTTATACAAAATATCTGTTGGAGATTCAATCGAATTTCATGACAGGTAAAAAAAAAAAATATATAATGAAATTAAGTTATTTTTCGTCCTTGTGTTCACTGCCCTGAAGAGAGATCAGGAGTTTTACCATCAGTCTGTCTATCTGTATGTCTATGTATCTGTCAGTCTGTTTGTCTAACTGTCTATCCGTCTGTCTGTCTGTCTGTACTCGTATGTTTGCGAATTCGGGCAAAAACACATCAATTATTATTTTTCCCCTTCGTTTTCTTTCACTGTGTTGCCGTTTTAGAGGGATAACTCACTTAGTCGTGATCCAGTGACCCCCTCTGGTGCCTGGTAATGGAATTAAGAGGTCAAAGAGGTGTAATTATACTACCCGTTACTGTCTCTACTTGTTGTTGGTGTCTCTGATAGTTAGGAGGGCTCGGGGGTGGTAGTAGTAGCAGCAGTCTCTTACCTTTTCAAAATTAAATAGCTGGGGCCTGAGGCAATTTGTTCATAATTTTAATAAGGGGGTAAAAGTATTTGTCTTATGTAAAGAAAGTTTTCAAACCTACAGCAAACTACAGCGACTCTAAAGTGATGAATACGGGTAGAGTTTTTTAGTGACGTCAGTTTGATAGACTACATAAGTGAATAATGTAGGCCAAACACATCACCCCGGCCAAATAATTGATAGTAAGTTATTATAAACAGTCACTCACGGCCAAGGGCAGGGTGACCACACGACACAACACGACACGACAGTATCAATAAACACTTCACATTCTGACATATTAATATCTAATGAGGAACTTTATCGCCACACACATTAATATTGGAATAATTAAGCAACATTATCGTAAACACTGGAAGCATAGAGAGAAAAATGATGACTCTCGTCTTTATGTTATGTTTGAATTGTATTGCATTGAGTCCTGTGATAGTAGTGAAGACAATGATATGATATATTTACGTTTGGATGTTTGTGGTGTAGAAGATAATGACGTGAGTAAGGAGCAGAAAGAGTGATTGTGGAAGCTATCTCTTACACCACAATTAGTGATGGTCAACGTAGGTGTAGCCAACAGTGTGATCTGACCTCCCGTGACCTGTTAAATATGTCATAATTACTTTTGGTGGGCGGGCTGGGGCGAAAAAAAAGACATTTTTTTTATTTTATTGGTTGATAAGTCGTGTTGATCTATAAGGAAATACGAAGATAAGCGAAGATAATGAAGATAGTGAAGCTAGTGAAGATAATGAAGGTAGTGAAGATAGTGAAGGTAGTGAAGATAGTGAAGATAAGGATGAGTCCATTATGTCACAGCTCACGACCTATACCGAGCTGTGGTCTTCCCCTACACAGTTTCCTCTCCACCTACGCTGCCATCATTGTTCTCTTGCGTAATTTTTGTTAATAGGAGACTAGTGCATGTCCCCCTCCTTGTTAACGCTGGCATCTCCCTCAGAGTGCCACTATCTCCCCTCTGGCCCCTCAACACGTATATATTAGTCCCCTTGTTTTCCGGTATAGAGTTCACCTTTCCCCTCTTGCTCTCCCTCACAAACATACATCCTGGCACCCTCCTCCCCTCAGGATAATATTTCCCCTCCCTTATCTCTCCCTCTATGCATGACAAGTAATCTTCCTATACTGCATGACTATGTACTCCACCTGCCTGGACCCTCTGGCTGGGCATTACATAAGTTAGGTGTGTGTGTGTGTGTGCATGTGTGTGTGTGTGTGTGTGTGTGTGTGTGTGTGTGTGTGTGTGTGTGTGTGTGTGTGTGTGTGTGTGTGCGTGTGTGTGTGTGTGTGTGTGTGTGTGTGTGTGTGTGTGTGTGGCTCGCTAGGGGCAAGTGAGGGATGCTTATTACACCTGCCCAATCTACCCTCATCTCCCAGCTCGGGGTCGTTACTGTACCTCCATACACCTTGAACACCCCTCCACCTGCCTCTTCCACCCCTCCTCCTCCACCAGCTACGCTCATTCACCCCTCCTCCTTTTCGTCCACCCTCCACCCTCCTCTTCCTCCACCTGCTGCTTCGTTCACACCTCCTCCTCCCCCCTGCTTCCTCGTCCACCCCTCTTCCTCCTGCTTCCTCGTCCACCCGTCCTCCTCCTCCATCTTCTGCCTCGTCCACCACTCCTTCACCTGGTCCGCCCCTCCTCTTCCACCTAGTCTACCCCTCCTCCTCCACCTAGCCCACCGCTCCTCTTCCACCTAGTCCACCGCTCCTCCTCCACCTGGCCCACCCTAGGCCTTTGCTTTTCTCTATATATCGTTACTGACATATTCCTTAAATAATAGAACATTATCTTCATGTCCTACAAGGTGTTTGTAAAATATGCGTCCACTTATAATCTTCAGTAACTTTATGCGCACTTCTAATAGTCAAAATCTGCATAGGGTAAATTAAAGACAAATTTATTAAAGTTTTAGCGTAGTTACGGCAGATCGCTCTAGCTTCCAACCTAACCATCTGTTACGTCTTCATGCGGGTTATAAGAACAGTAAGTTAAATAAGGTAGGATAACACCGTAGAGTTTGTGTTGTGGTGTAAGAGGTTCGTCATGATCTCACTCTCTATTTGATTTTTTCTTCTCTCTTTCTCTCTTTTAATTTTAATAATATATATCACTCTACCCTCAGAAAACATCCAATATTTAATTGTTTTCTTCATTTGACCATTTGTATATTTTTACACTTTTTTATATATTCAATAATTATATTCTTCGTTTCTCATCTCCCTGGGGCTGTTGCTTATCTCTTAGTATTTTTATATTTTTCTCTCCCTCCCTCCACTTGTATCTACTACATATTGTTTTATTTGCTGTTATATTTACCATCACTGTAATAAACTTAAGATGTTTATTTCCAAGATGACTGATATATAAACGTATGTCTTTAGTTTTTACTTCACCTTATGTGTGTGTGTTGTTGCAGCGTTGGACAGACCAGAGATCGGACCGTGTCAGTTCGAAGTATCTGGAGTACAAGGCCTCATCACTCACACCAACATCACACAGTCGAGGTTGAACTACTCTATCAACTATAGTTACCCTGTTGACTGTACCTGGGTCATCAGAGTCAAACCCGGCGAGAAGGTAAGGACGGGTTTGTTAATCTCGAGTTTACATTTTGGTTTACAGTACTTGAGGTATTCGTGGGTTCAGTGGGTCAGGACGATCTTGGGACGTGTAAATCTTGAGGTGTACATTTGGCTTCGTGGATATTTAGGTATATTCTGAGGTATAAATAGGTAGGCTTAGGTTTACTGGGGTATAAATAGGTAGGCTTAGGTTTACTGAGGTATTTATAGCTTTATTTAGGTATTCGTAGGTTTACTTAGGGTATTCGTAGGTTTACTTAGGGTATTCGTAGGTTTACTTAGGGTATTCGTAGGTTTACTTAGGGTATTCGTAGGTTTACTTAGGGTACTCGTGTGTTTTCATAGGTAATCGTAGGTTTACACAGTTATTTGTGGGTTTACATAAGCATAGGATATCGGTACTCCACACCTAGATACTCTGAGGTGTATGTACAGTATATAGGTTGCCTTACATACATTGGGTAATTCTGATAGAGATAAGGTAAAATGTAAAATACAAGAGACAGTATTTGATATATTTACTATTTACAGATCATTTACAAAAGGAATAGAGATGAAGGATAGTGTAAATGCAGGTGGCAGTACAGTACTTGATATATTTACCATTTACAGATAATTTACAAAGATAATACAGTTAGTGGCTAAGTATTGATTAATGCCTAGAAAATATATTATCTGGTTCTGAACGTAACCTGATCGCGAGGCAAGAGACGTACCACGGGAAACACCTCATAAAAAAAACGTAAATTAATGTAAATGTCAATAGGTAAAAGTTAACGCACCGAAACCTTGACCAAAACGCAATTAGGTTATATAAACGCATCTAGACGTGTTAGAAAATGTAAATAGGTTAACGCATCAGTCATATTCTGCTCATTCTGAAGGACAACGGTATGTATTCAGGTGTTGTAGGTGTAATTTAGATACAGGTAGAGGAGCTATGAATCACCTCCTCCCTCCTTCCATCTGTCCCCTTCTACTTCCTCACTGCCTCCCTCCATCTGTCTACCTCCTCCCACCCTCCCTGTACCTGTCCTCCACCTACCGAGAGAGACCATCACCTTACCCACATCCACTCAAGAGAAGTGGAAGGCCCGAGGTATAGCCGCCACTCTCACAGTCTCATTCACCCAAAACTTGAGGTCCATTTTGTGTCGATTTGCACGAGTGAGGGTAAGAGGAGCGAGGGGGGGTGAGAGAGGGAGGTGAGAGGAGGGTCCAGCAGTTGTGTGTCCCCGAGGCTCACTGACCACCACCTCCACTACTTGAAGTAAACGTCTTGCACCACACCACCACCACAGCCTCCTCTTATTTTTTCATTCATTTTCTGGTGATGAGTGTGTGTGTGTGTGTGTGTGTGTGTGTGTGTGTGTGTGTGTGTGTGTGTGTGTGTGTGTGTGTGTGTGTGTGTTGTGTGTGTGTGTGTGTGAGCGAGCGAGCAAGCTCTGTTCTCTATACTGTAAGTCTGTCAAATCGCAGGACAAATACCTGAGACTTAATTAACAATCGTAATAATCCTGTAGAAGTCTCGAGTGCATGTAATGGTGAGGTGGTAATAATGACTGAAGCCTCTATCACTCGTCTTTGTTTGAGTGTTCAATTGTAGCTTAAATTTCCACCTAAAAATAAATGAAGTCACTAAATTTTCTGTCAAGATTTCAAACCAATAAGAACTGACTGTATTTATTGACTATATTCAGCCTATAAGAATTCAGAGTTTTAAATTAATAGGTTAAGTTTTAAGTAGTAACAGTTGAGGATGTAAATTTTAGCGAACTCGAGATGAAATTCTTGGCTTAAATGCCAAAAGATTTAACGTGACCTCAATGAAGGTGGAGATAATAATTTTATGCCAGCAGGAACAAAAAAAAAGGATAAATTTTGTCACTATTCAGAGCAGTAGTTTAGACTGGACTCCATTAATAAGTGGAGCTCCAGTTGTCTTCTCCTGGATAGAGTTGAGACTATACACTTTACCATCACACAAGTTTGTTCTTTACACCACTGTTTCCTCCCGTCTGCCCTCTACACTTGTGAAGTTTTACCTCGGTCACGTAGCTCAGTTCTCCCTCCCTCAGTGTGAGTATGGAGTTAAAGAGTTTGGCGGCAGTAAGAGTTCAAAGCTCAACTTCACAGCTGTAGTGAAAATTCTCCTCAAAGACCCCTTGAGAGGACCATGGTCGTGACTCTATCCAAGAAAAGCTGTAAAGTTCAGACCCTTCCGGTAAAAGTTATGATATTACACTTCATCTAGACGGGACCAAGAGCTCAGACATACTCCATTAAAGAGCTGAAACTTCAAGCTTCTGCCATCAAGAGTTGAGGTCACACTTTCCCTCCCTCCTTCCCTCCCAGTTAAAGCAGAATGGTATAGACGTTATCGAAAACCAATAACAACTTCTCAGCAGGGTTTGTGTAGTTCAGGAATCTCAGGAAATAGAGTATAGGTCACGTAAAACCCATTATAACTTAACTTAACTTCACCCATTTCGGAGAGAGAGGAGAGCGGGGAGTCGTGGGAACAGGCGTGATGTGTGTACAATACCTTCTCACTGTGCTTAATCTATACAGTGTCTTTGAAAGTTGATAAAGGGTTTGGGAATCGTAATTATCTAGCCCACTGTAACAAACTACCTGATTGTTTTCCCAATTTACCACATCATATGGCTCCACAACCTTCCACACCATCTGGCTCCCCAACCTTCCACATCATATGGCTCCACAACCTTCCACATCATATGGCTCCACAACCTTCCACATCATATGGCTCCACAACCTTCCACATCATCTGGCTCCACAACCTTCCACACCATCTGGCTCCCCAACCTTCCACATCATATGGCTCCACAACCTTCCACATCATATGGCTCCACAACCTTCCACATCATCTGGCTCCACAACCTTCCACATCATATGGCTCCCTAACCTTCCACATCATCTGGCTCCACAACCTTCCACATCATATGGCTCCCTAACCTTCCACACCATCTGGCTCCCTAACCTTCCACACCATCTGGCTCCCCAACCTTCCACATCATATGGCTCCCAACCTTCCACACCATCTGGCTCCCCAACCTTCCACATCATATGGCTCCTAACCTTCCACACCATCTGGCTCCACAACCTTCCACATCATATGGCTAACCTTCCACACCATCTGGCTCCCCAACCTTCCACATCATATGGCTCCCTAACCTTCCACACCATCTGGCTCCCCAACCTTCCACATCATATGGCTCAGTAACCTTCCACACCATCTGGCTCCCCAACCTTCCACATCATATGGCTCCCTAACCTTCCACACCATCTGGCTCCACAACCTTCCACACCATATGGCTCCCTAACCTTCCACACCATCTGGCTCCCCAACCTTCTACATCATATGGCTCCCTAACCTTCCACACCATCTGGCTCCCCAACCTTCCACATAATCTGGCTCAACAAATCTGTCAGCGCGAGGATCAAAGTGACTTAACTTGTTAGCGCTGACACGACATTCCTTAATGCCGGGTAAATTAAGTTAGTGTTAAAGGCCCAAGTCAGCTGATTACCCCCACAACTTGTTTACATCTCCTGAATGATTTACAGTTTCCACACCTGATTTACAAACAGTTTAAGTACGTCATTAATGTTTGTAAATGTGTATATTGGCCACAGTGATGATATTGACCAAAATTTATTTATATTTCTGTCTTGACACTTGATACATGTTTGTTATTGCCTCGATGTACAGTCCCCTTCACTAGTGAATTTACAGGGGCTCGTCAGGTTTTGTGCAGTGTGGCAGGCCTGTTTGTTTACATTCGACAGAAGGAAACCCACAGTAGTAAACATATAATGAAATCAAAGTAAAACAATATTAAAACAAATATCTCAAGTATTTGTAGAATGTTTATATTATGAGCCCCCCTTTAAACACACTAATGAAGGGGACTGTAATGTTGTTCAATCTCATCATAGATGTACAGTCCTGTCGCGAACAACGAACCCCGAGATTCAGACTCGTGAACCCGAAGCAGTAGACACTGATACATTATTCTGTCCATAAATGCTTCGGAGTCAAGAGTCTGAATCTCGGGGTTCATGGTTTGCGACAGGATTTTTTTGGGTGACTGTACACGTTGTTCTTCCTTGCCTTAGATGTACTTACAGATCCCCCAAAAAAGCGTCGTTGGCTATGGGCTCGATGTGATGTGAGGCTTTCCAAGCAATGTTACTCAATGTGTAGCCAATCACTGGGCGTTTTGCAGTCACGTGACTTTTGAACTACTTGAACCACTCTTCTTTTTATACTTCTGGCCTATTTTTTTTAGAAAATATCTATACTCGTATGGTTACCATAGTGAAAATGAGCTCCGTTTTTATGTTGATTTTTTTTATAAAGTTAACTGTCAACTCGTCTTAGGTAATAACTCGATTGAAAATAATTGAAATTATTTGAAGGGTCATTAATAAGACCTGTTTTTACTGAATAAACTTTTCGTCTTCAAATTAGAAAATATGGAGTTTAAATACTCAAAGGTTTGAGCTTAACTAGAAACTGCATAAAAAGAGCACATTAAACCTACACGAATCGATTAATTCGTAAAACTAAAATTGGCAAAATTATTGAAGGGTCATTGATTAACCCCATGAAGCCAAAGTTATGATATTTAACTCGGGTTTACACATCAGGCTCTACCTTTAGTGTTCTTTATTGGCCTAGAAATCCATGTTGATCTTCGTGGCCTTAAACCTCGAGTAAAATATATGTTTTTCAAGGCCCTACATCTCAATGAACTTTATAGCCCAAGATGTCTGTGTTCTCCGTGGCCCTGGATATGCTTGAGTTTAAAAGTTGGAATTAAAGTAATTGCTATCCTAATGACCCTTGGAAGAATTTAATGAGTTTTATAATGCTAATTACTCACTTCCTTCTTTTTTATGGGGGGGGGGGGTGTTATTTTGGATATAATAAAGTACATTTCTGTAGGTGGGTTTAGAAAATTTAAATTTACTCTAAATATAGGGACACGACATGCTGTTTAAGGATCTTGGGTCAAAAAATTTTATCTTGGTCATTGCAGTGCAATGTAGAGTACTGTACTGTACTTCAAATTACCTGGAAAATTTAATTAGTTTTGCATTGCTAATTACTGTACCCACCACCTGTGATTTTTATGGAGATTTTTTTTCTGGCATACTAAAATACCATAGCTAAACATGTTATACAGTATCTAGTTCGACATTTCAATAGAGGTACAGTACTGTACTCCTCAACTAATCACTTATTGTTTTTCTGCATTGCCCTAGATTTAGATGTTCCCCATACCTCTAGATATACGTGTTTTTCATTGCCCTGGTCTACATGTTCTTTATTGCCTTCGACATCAATGTTGTTGTTCTTTGCCCAGATCTACATGTTCTTCCTTCTCCCAGAACTATGTACTGTACAGTATTCTTCTAGCATACCAAATATTTACATATTCTTTGCCCTTTCTCTAGACTTACAATTTCTTCTTCCCGTTACAGAATAAGAAGATACTATTCTCCTTAATCCTAAATACAAATGCTCTTTTCCTGTATCTCAGATCTACATGTTCTTTGAAATGTTCCAACTTGCTGAGCCCAATGAGTGCGACAACAACTACGTAGACATATTTGGCAAAGAGACGGATCTGAGGAATCGCATCAAGCACTATTGTGGCTCTGTAGCTGACCCCTTTATTACCTCCAGCAACCTCATGCACTTCCGCTTCTTCGCAGTCACGAGGGCACTAAAATCAGAGTTCAGGGCATGGTTCACTGCCTTCAGGGACCGCATGCAAGAGGGTGATGGTGAGTATTCAGCCTGGCCCTTGGAGATGACCCCCAGTTAGGTTAGCTATATGTGAACATGGGGATTTAAGTATATACACACGATCAAAAATATATCAATGCACATTTTGCACAAGGCAATCCGATTCCACAGATGATGGTTATTGCAAAAGGCCATATATTGCTTGCTAGCACCATTTCCTGTTTTATCCATAGTCAGTACAGTATTGTTATTATACAGTATACACATTCAGAAGAAAATAGATTAATCTTCGAACAATGTGTAATGTGGTTCATGTTGGTGTTTACATTGCAACATAGGTGTATTTATCATTTATTAAATTATCAGACCCAATGTGCACAGATACTTTTTTGATCATGTACACACACAAAAGGGGGGGGGGGCGATGACTTACTTGGTGTAGATAGGGCATGGGAGGGGATATGACAGGTTTGCTTTTGTATGAGTGAGTCCAGTTTTCATAAGATGGGTCACATTTCTGTGATAGAATACAGAGCTACAGGTCTCTTATATAGGTACTGTACTGTATAGTAGTATTTTAGCTGACACTGAGCAGCCTCTATAGGTTGTGAGAACTTGCAAATAAGAAACCCTCATCTAAATAGGGGGGGGGACACTTTCTAAATCAGAATTAAAGAGGATTTGCCACACCATTATCTTTTTTAATATTCTTATCTCAACTCTTTCAATATATATGAGACAAAGTATATCAGAATCATTGAAGTTCATTTGTATAAATCGCAAATGACGTTTTCTCCAGATGAGAACAAGCAATGTACTGAGGAGGAGTATGACTGTGACGACGCCACCTGCATCCACCACTCCCTCAAGTGTAACGAAATCAAGAACTGCCGCCATGAATATGATGAGGAGGGCTGCGACGTGAGTACTTCTTCCATATTTGTATCAGAGCTACTAGTATTATGGATATACAATAAGTCTTCTCTTTGAATATTATTTATGCTTATGTAAATGTTGCTGTTGCTGTCATCTTCTGAGAGTAGCAAAAATGATGATTTTAGAGTGAACCAAGGAAGAGGAAGGGAAGGACACTAATGCAATCATTCATTCCTTCCCACTTTACCTTTTGTCTTCAATTTTCACTTTCATTTTACCTTGCCATGCTGAATCAATTCTGTTTGGCATGTTTGTGTGTACTGTAATGCGTGATATCATTTCTCTCTTGCACAGTTGGGGAATAAAACCAAGTTCAACATCCAGTCAGAGCACATTATCATCATCCTGACACTGGGGTGTGGTCTGTTAGGTGGCATGTGCTTTGCTATGTGTTTCAACTGCATCAGAAAGCTCATCAGGGACGGCAGACAGATACACGTACGTACAATACTTTTGGTGCGTTAAAGTGTGTTGTTTGTGATATCTCTTCCTCACTTGCTGAACTAAAATTTGTTATTTCTCTTCAAGTTCTCCATCATACATTGTTATTCATAAGCAGAGATCCTTTTTTTTTTTAAGAAAATATTCCTTCTCGACTTTATTCTTCCGATGTGATTATTTTTAAAAATTAACAGAGGGAAATTGAAGAAGTGTTGTGTTCAAATCACTTCACTTAGTGATTACTGGCATCACCTGATGTCTTTGATACACATATACTGTAATTAAAAAAGTGGCTTACATAAAGACTTGAAAACATTGGTCAGTATACTGTATAGCCTTCATGATTCAGCGTTACTTTTACAGCTCTTTTAGTTCGTCGAATTTTCATAATCGAGAAAATTACTGATCTTTTAAAAATTTGGCATGTTTTCAGATAAAAATGGTCTTTGCATCCTGTTTAATTTTCTACAATGATCTCATTTTGCTGCTTATAGTTAATTATTTTGCTGGGATAGAAAAACAAAGGAGGAAAAGGAAGGGAGAAGTGATGAAAATTAAAATAGTCTTTTCTTCACATCAGCTTATGTTTCAGAATTAATCATTGCAAATTCCACTCTCAGATGAAGCAGTGTACTTGATCATTGAAAACTGATGAAAGAGGATTGTTATTTTTCTTTCCCATTTGGGGAAAATAGTATCTACCTGCAGTATTTCCTCCACAACATAATAATGATAATGTTCCTTATAGGAAAATATTCGTCGATCTCGTGAACAATTAGAGGAGCGAAGTCAGAGGAGCCAGAGCATGTCTATTACATCGTCGCCTCAAGCAGCTCATCGACCAACAATGAATGAGACTGGCCCATGGTACATCTCTGATGCTAAAACCAATGGCCATCCCTGTATTAGGCCAGAGTCGGAGTCTGAAAGTGAGGTGGATGAGGATGAAGATGAAGAGGAGATTGATGACATGGAGGAATCTTGTGTAGAAATGCGTGACTGTGAGTGTCAAACGAGAGACTCATTACTCACTCAAAGAGACTCTGGTCAAACTCAGCTCCCTATGACGCCTCCACCACCTCCTCCACCTAATAGACGCCCTCCTGGCCTTCCCCCATTAAGTCCTGGTCCTCCTCCCTCTGTTCCCACACCACCTCCTCCCCCTGGTTCTCATTATGGACGTACTCCAGCAGGACCGTCTGGTCCACCATCAGATCATTACGGCACCTACAGGAGATCACCGGTACCAAGACACAACGATCACTATGAAGTTGATGACCAGTCAGATGACCCCTATAGCCAGAGGTACCGTGCCGAGGCCGTTATTGAGATGAGGGAACGAGGACCTTATGAGCCTACAAAGTCACCTAAGACAACACCTGATGTGTTGGCAACACATTGAGATTAAATCCAAGTTAGTTTTTTCATAAATGAATTGTATCTCCAACTGGAGATCTTTTGTACATGACTCAGTTCTTAGAGTTTACCTGTACTGTACCTATTATACACTCTTGATATTAAATATTCAAGAAGACCATACTAATTCATAAATGCTGCAAGAATATTGACATTAAATAAGAGTCAACAAGTCTTTCTCAGTGTGGACCTTATTGTTCCATATGACTGCCTTCCCTTCTCCCTGGTGTCTTTGACAACTACTGACATGGTAGTCAGTAGGACAAAGAGCCTATGTCCTTGCCTTTTAAAGTAAGGCAAGACCATCCTCATCAGAGAATGATGCATCTGGTGTGAATACATTGATTTCCTGCATTATACCTCATTTTGTATATAAATTATTTTTTTCACTGGTAGCCTGCACATGAAGTTACCTGTAGGCTTGAAAAATGCCATGACCTTTTATTCATTAAATTATTTTCTTGAAAGATTGTACAGTTCAAATTTGAACCCTCTTTTATGCTCCTCTTCAGGAGCAGTTATTGCCCTTCCATGGCAATACAGTATTGCCATTGACTGGATCCTCAAACAATGGTTCAAGCAGCCAGCTACTGTTTTATTTTATACCATAATGATAAATTTTGGTGATTTGTATACAAATTCTGTTTACCATATGAAATTGAAATTTTATGGACTGATGTGCTGAGTAAGGGTTAACCTTTATATTATAATGTGATGAAACTGGTAGTGATAAGATATAGGTACTGTATCACTATTACTGCCTACTAATGGAGAAGATATGTGACAAAATTTAGATGAATTGTGGGTCTGTGTTAAAAGCGCCAAAATTAGCATAGATCATGTTTAATACAGTATTTATTGAATTATTTTAGATATACAGTAGTGCCAAGCTGAATATTTCCCCTAAAGCCTGTAAACTGGTACAATCCAAGATGGCCACAGCACGAATTGCAGAAATCAAATGACTCGTATCTTCAGGAATGCTGTACTGTATATCACATATAAACGTGACTGAAGTATATTTTTCTTTATTTTCATACATAAAGAATGCAATGCCACCATCAGAATAGGAAAATTAAATATTTAAGACATTTAAGCTGCACACATACTCTATGCTGTGCAGTATATGAATACAGTATACAAAAATAATCAAACCACTGTCCATGTATTACTGTATATACTTTGCATGTAGGATAATTGAAAAGAAATTAAAAACAAAATCATATATGACAGTTAATTGTAATGTGGTCACATTTGCCACTGCATGGCAGAGCTATGTACACTTCAGAGCTGTCTTGACACACTTGCAGAGTCTTCTACATTCCTTCTTGGCAACCACATTGTAGCAACTCCGAATAAGATGCTGCTGCTTCTGCTGCTTCGGAGAGTAATGTCCACTGTGGTTCTCATCCTTGTATTGCACTCTTCTTCCATCCTCAGGACTCTGGAGTGGGAGCATCTGGAACACGGACATGTGTTTACCTTAAAAAAGTCCACCTTGGTAAATAGTCCTTTTTGTGTGCTGCAACAGTGATACTCTTGTTGGTGGTATGGCCTTTAATGATAAATAGATGTTTGTGGCTGAGTTCATACTACTTTAGTCTCAGAGCTGGTTCTGTCATATAGCACCACAATATACAGACATGATATTTTTGTTGAAGCTTGTTGGACTTTCGGAGAGAGTGGTGAAGACTGTAGTGACCTCATCATATGACTTCCAAATACCGAAAACAGTTTTATTACCCTTGCCTGCGAACGAGGATACAGTGCCGCATCCAATAAGGACATGGAACATGGGAAACACTCTTGCCTTCTCTACACCTAATGCTTTAGCAATATCATGAGCTGGAGTGTATCTCAGGTGTTTTCCTGTGCCAAATGCCATCCAAAGTTCAGTGTCCTCAAACAACATAACACTAGACATGGCTAGAACAACTACATTTGTGTCGTCCATGACCAGCAACATAATTCTGCAATAGCCTCTTTGTAGTTGCATCCAGTACATGTAAGAACATCGTTTTGTCAGCCTCTTCATGTGTACACGGTGGTAGAGAGGAGACATTCTGATGATCACAGGTGCAAGGAAAACTCTGTACATGTGTACACTTCCTTCTCCATAGAAAGATGATATCGAACCTTTTTTGAAATGTCAATAGTGCAACAATTTAACAAATATGCAGATAGTTTACCTGATGTGCCAAGAAGTCGAAAGGTTCAGTTTTGTCATCCAGTCACAAGAACTCTTGCTAATTTCTTGAAATGGTGTTGGTTGCTGCAATATGCCTCCAAACACCCTTTCCTCACTTATTTCCCATTGTGGACTTACGGTCCATTGGAAGGTAAGCGACCCAAATAATGTAGACTCTTGTTACATGATTCAGCTTGGATTTAATGTTCGGTAGAAACACCAGTGTGGCATATTCCTGGAAGGTTTTTGCATTCATTGGCTTCAGCATATTGATGATTGCAGCACCATCCTGTATGATAACATCGACCACTGAGGCATCACCACTGACTGTACAGAGCTTATCCAGGCATTTTGTGAGATCAACATTTGGGCTAAGCCAGTGTGCATGATTCTCGTGTTTGACATGTAATGTAAAAACTTGAAAACAGTGCACAGTCACTCTTAGGAGACAATACCATCTGGGTTGCTTTAGATCTAACCCTCAACGGTGGTCGACTGAACGTACTTGTGTTCTCTTCACTAACCGCTGTTACATACTTCTCATATTTTTCAAACCCATCTTCTCCATACATCGTACAGAGTTGACTACAGTACTGTACTGCCACATCAACATCATCTCTGCTGTCCAGTACAGTACAGTACGAGCATCTTGGATTTTTCTCATTCATGGGTTTCAGGGGAAATATTATGCTCGGCACTATATCTGAAATAATTTAGTACCTGTACATATTAAACATGATTTATGCTAGGAAGAGACTGGGATGGATGAATGAAATTTAAAACTGAGTTCCAGAGAGATACAAAACCTTGGAGGTTTGGTAAAAACAGCCTGAGAATGCTTAGAGTGGAGGACTGTAGTCGCCAAGCTTCAAATATGAGGGCGGTACTCTGATCGATTGATTGATGCCAATTTTGGTATTTTTGCCACAAAATTCATAATTTTTTTCACAAATCTGCCCCACTATACCATTGATTCATGAATTTGGTTAAAAATAATAAATTTCTAAGTCTTGGATACATAAACCAACTAAGTACTGGGCCTTACGTATTTAAAAAAATAAATAAATTATACATTGTTATGTTATGACAGGGTAAAAGTTTCACTTATTGTGAGATAATAATACGTACTTGCTGGAGTTACTGATGAAATAAACAACAGGATTCAGAAACTTGCATTTAAAATGACAACATTTGTGTATACTGTACAAGCATATCGATTTACGTTTGTAAATACTGTAAGACTATAATTATACTAGATTTTTTCCATAAAGACAATCAATGTAGGTGTTGGAAATGTACCATATACTGTACGTGGTGTAAGACATTTTATACTGCCTATTTTTATTGTATTCAAAGAATCAGAAGTTGTGTAGTACAGACATATATTTTTAATTTCTACTCCTTCCAGATTTGTTGTAATCAAACTTTTTGGTGCTATAGGAATTTACTTCATATTAAAAATATTATGTTATTAATGTTTCATTTTTTTACAGCAATAATCTGATAACACTAATGCAGTACTGTACAGGTATCCCCAATTAGTTAACAGTTTGTAAGTTAGTGAGATTTTAATTTATCCCATTTTTTTTATGGGTGATAAAAAATCTCAGAAAACAGCTACAGCACGTTAGAATTTTCGACATGCTGATATATGGTAGGACTCACTTATTATAGCCACGTGTCATAATTTAGTGTGTTAACTTAATACTGTATTGTTTTTAGCACTTACCGTATACTATTACTATGGTCACTCGAACTTTACAAATGAGGCTTAGGATCAGTTTGTAGCAAGGCAGCTGATTAACTGGTGGACAGACATGTGAAGGGTTACTTTACAGTTCTTAAGTGCAGTAGGTTCTCGCTTAACGTCATGGTTACGTTCTTGAAAAACACAACGTTAAAGGAAACAATGTTAACGGAATCAATTTTCCCCATAAGAAATAGATAAAATACGCTAGTTATGTTCCCCAACCTCCCTTTGCCCCATAAAATACATTACATATAAATTCATTGGAATTCTTATAGAAAATATATATTATATATCCAAAAAGATAAATAAACTAAATAATTTTGTATTGTACTCACTGATGGGCAGAGGTGGAGCGAGTGTGTGGTGGGTAGTGGAGAGGAGGACTGGGGTTCCCCCTCCACTTTTGTAGCAAGGTTAATGGTCTTGCATTGCTTCTTCACAACACTAGCTTCACTAAAACTTGATGGGCACTTGGAAGCCATTTCGAATGGTTACAGTACAGTATTTATATAAAAAAACACTTCAGCACGCACGTACGCTGTGGAAGCTAACAAAGACTGGGGATGCTGTGACACTCCGCAAGAGAGTGTAGCGTGCCAAGATGAGAGAGGGTGATGTGCCATACAAAGTAGTCCGTGTTGGATGACAACGTTATAACGAATCAGTTGGGACGTTGTCGGAATCATGGGTATCTAAAGAGTAGTGACATTATAACGAAACAACGTTGTTTGGGACGTTAAACGAGGACTGACTGTATTTAGTCTTATCTTATTTGCAGCATATTCTCTTATTTTAATGGATAGTAACTATTCTGTGTTCATCTCATAATTTCTGCACTTAAAAAAACAAAAATTAGCATGTGAGATGCACTGGTAATATAAATATCATAATAGGGAAAACAAACACGATGAAAAAGTTCAACAACGAGAGCGCCCTTTTTTCTGTCATCTAACAGTGCTTGGGTGACACCAGAAACTCTGACGTCACCAGCAAAGGCAAAAGATATCAGATATTTCCAGACAGTGTCACAATTCACTCCAGAATAGCAGCCAAATACTGTATCAATGAAATGTTCCTATCCCGATTTACGATCTTCCAATTTACGATATTTCACTTGAACAATGGTGATTCTTAAGACCACCTCCCTATTTACGACCAAATTTTTTTTTTACATTAACGATGGTCATCATCCACCCAAAATTGCTGACACGCGGAATACAGTATGGAATGCATCTCTTGCTGCACTTGTCAGCAACAGCATCATCTACCAGTGCGCTGCCAAATAGCCATCCAGTGCACTATAGTTCCGAGCTTTCTTTCATGGTGACTGTGAAGTGATTTTTGCTATTTTTTGTGACTGTAGAGTGTTTTGTCTCTGTTCTTGTGAACATAGTGCGAGGAGTGTCGGCCGCTATTATTGTTTTTATGTTATTGTCTGTGTTTTTTTTCCCCCTTACAGTGAGAGGATCTTACTGATGTTCAGATTTTAATCAGTTTTTGTGATTGTGACAAGTGGTTTTGCTCAGTTTTTGTAACTGTTAAGCAAGCAGTGTAACTTTGAAAATGCCTAGCAAGCTTCACCTTCTTTAAGGCCAGGCCAAAGTTTAAACCTTCAGTCCCCAAAATAAAAGACTCTCCTAGGACTCCTACTCCCACTCTGTACCCAGCTTCTCCAGACTCCCCAGAGGCTGTGTGGGAGTCGGAGTGTTGGCTCCACTCCACCTTCAAGAATCCCGTTAGCCTCGAAGGGGACATGTGATGACAACCAGGCTTGTTCTTAACGAGGTGGTGGGTGTTGTTAATTTGCTTTTTAGTTATTTTATTAATGTTGGATTTTTTTTTTTTTTGTGATACAAGTGTGTGTTGGACTGGGTGGGAATGTACCCATTGAACCCCATGTTATAATGCTCTTGATTTACGATATTTTGATTTGCTATGTTTTTTTAGGAACGTTACCCCATTGTAAATCGGGGGATACCTGTAAAACAAGTTAACATTAACTACTTTACTCATAAAATATAATGGTAACTATTATTACGAGACCATCAAACAAGCCGGATTTCATCACCAAAAAATAATTT